TCTGGAATATCTATGAATTCCAGGTAAATTTAAGCTACTTCGTCCTTCTCATCTACCCTTCATTTCCCTGATTTTTCCTCTTGTGTTTTTTTTTTCTTCCCCTTTAGTTAAAAATGTAGCCGTTGTGCTGGAATTTTGTTCTCTTCTTGTGCTCAATCTCACACTAGAAAGCGAACAAAAAAGTTCTGATTTTTCAGCTGTACTGTTTTTTTTTTCTTCTTTTGTTCTTCATTTTTATCTTTTCTTTCTAATTTCAGCTCTAGGTACCCGGAAATGGAGCTCTTCCGCATCTAAAAACTGTACAACGGAGAAGTGGGTCGTGTAAAGATGTATAAGGCGCTGATTATTTCAGTCTTGTTGGTGTCGGTGGTGGCTTCTCTCGCTCCGGTGAGATCTCTTGACCCACCTTTAAACGACGACGTTTTGGGGCTCATTGTCTTCAAGGCCGACTTGCGAGATCCAGAGCAAAAGCTTGCTTCTTGGAACGAAGATGACTACAGTCCTTGTAGCTGGAACGGGGTCAAATGCCATACTCGAACGAATCGAGTCACTGAGCTAACCCTAGATGGCTTCTCTCTTTCTGGTCGAATTGGCCGTGGGCTACTCCAGCTCCAGTTTCTTCACAAATTATCTCTGTCCAACAACAATCTCACAGGAATCATCAACCCTAATCTGCTGCTGAGCCTCGTTAACCTTAAAGTTGTCGACTTGAGCAGCAATGGGCTATCTGGTTCGCTTCCTGATGGGTTTTTCCGGCAATGTGGGTCTCTAAGAGCTTTTTCTCTGGCGAAGAACACGCTAACGGGGAAAATACCGGTTAGTATAAGCTCGTGCTCGTCTCTTGCTGCTTTGAATCTGTCTTCAAATCGGTTCTCTGGTTCTATGCCTTTGGGGATTTGGTCTTTGAACACTCTTAGATCCCTTGATTTGTCGAGGAATGAGTTAGAGGGAAAGTTTCCTGAAAAGATAGACAGATTGTACAACTTGCGAGCGCTTGATTTAAGTAGAAACCGGTTAACTGGTCCTGTTCCTAGCGAAATTGGGAGCTGTATGTTGCTGAAGACTATTGATCTTAGTGAAAATTCTCTATCAGGGAACTTGCCAGATACATTTCAGCAGCTCAGTTTATGTTATTATCTCAACTTAGGAAATAATTTGCTAGAAGGTGAAGTTCCAAAGTGGATTGGAGAGATGAGGAGTCTTGAGACTTTGGATCTTTCAATGAATAAGTTTTCAGGGCAGGTTCCAGACTCCATAGGCAACCTTCTTGCACTGAAAGTTCTCAACTTTTCTGGGAATGGGTTTATTGGTAGCTTGCCCGACTCAACAGCCAACTGTATCAACCTCTTGGCCTTAGATTTTAGTGGGAATTCCCTGACTGGAAAGCTTCCCGTTTGGATATTTGAAGATGGTTCTCATGAAGTTTCTGCGTTGAAAAACGATAACTTAACTGGAGGTATCAAGAGGATCCAGGTGTTGGATTTCTCAAGCAATTCCTTCACCGGTGAGATTGGAGCTGGTTTAGGAGATCTAAAAGACATGCAGAGTTTGAATCTGTCAAGAAACGCTCTTACCGGCCCTATCCCTAGTACCATTGGGCACCTGAAGCATTTGGGCGTCCTTGATTTAAGTCACAATCAGCTTAATGGATCGGTTCCTCGAGAAACCGGTGGAGCTGTTTCTTTGGAGAAGTTGAGACTCGAAAACAACATGTTAGAGGGAAGCATCCCATCTACCATCAAGAATTGCAGTTTCCTTCAGTCTTTGTAAGTCGCCTTTGCCTTAAGTTGTATTCAATTAAATTTTCCAGGATTTCTCAATAAAAAATTCTGTCTTTGACCGTGTATTTGTATTATGTTTCTTTCTACAGAATACTGTCACATAACAAGTTGATAGGTGCAGTTCCACCAGAATTAGCAAAGCTTACAAACCTCCAAGAAGTGGACCTTTCGTTCAATGACCTGAATGGAACCCTTCCTAAACAGTTGGCTAATCTCGGTTATCTTCACACCTTCAACATATCTCATAACCATCTCTCTGGGGAACTACCTGCAGGTGGAATCTTCAACGGTCTATCTCCTAATTCAGTATCAGGAAACCCGGGAATATGCGGTGCTGTTGTCAATAAGTCCTGTCCCGCTGTCTCTCCTAAACCAATTGTCTTGAATCCTAATGCAACCTTCGATCCTTATTCCGGTGAAGGAGGGCCTCCTAGTCCTGGTCACAAAAGGATACTTCTTAGTATTTCTTCCTTAATAGCCATTAGTGCTGCTGCAGCCATTGTGGTTGGTGTAATAGCCATCACAGTCCTTAATCTGAGAGTGCGCTCAACAACGGTTTCAAGATCAGCTGTACCGCTCACTTTCTCGGGAGGAGATGACTTCAGCCGATCACCTACAACAGATAGCAACTCGGGGAAGCTGGTGATGTTCTCTGGTGAACCTGATTTCAGCACGGGAACACATGCTCTGCTTAACAAAGATTGTGAGCTTGGCCGAGGTGGTTTTGGAGCAGTGTACAGAACAGTTATCAGAGACGGATATCCTGTGGCTATCAAGAAACTCACTGTCTCAAGCCTTGTCAAGTCTCAGGAAGAATTCGAGAGAGAGGTCAAGAAACTTGGGAAACTCAGGCACGCGAATCTGGTTAAGCTCGAAGGTTATTACTGGACAACATCTCTTCAGCTTCTTATCTATGAGTTTCTCTCTGGTGGGAGTTTATATAAACACTTACACGAAGCACCAGGAGGTAATAGTTCGCTTTCTTGGAATGATCGGTTCAACGTTATCCTCGGTACAGCGAAATGCTTAGCCTACTTGCATCAATCAAACATCATCCACTACAACATCAAGTCGAGCAACGTGTTGCTAGACAGCTCTGGCGAGCCTAAAGTGGGAGATTACGGATTAGCGAGGCTGTTGCCGATGCTAGACAGGTACGTGCTGAGCAGCAAGATACAGAGTGCATTGGGATACATGGCTCCAGAGTTTGCCTGCAGAACGGTGAAAATAACAGAGAAATGCGATGTTTATGGATTCGGAGTCTTGGTTCTTGAAGTGGTTACAGGTAAGAAGCCTGTGGAGTATATGGAAGATGATGTTGTGGTTCTGTGTGATATGGTGAGAGAGGCTCTTGAAGATGGAAGAGCAGAGGAATGTATCGATCCGAGGCTGCAAGGGAAGTTTTCTGCAGAAGAAGCTGTTGCAGTGATTAAGCTAGGGCTTATTTGCACTTCTCAGGTTCCATCAAGTAGACCACATATGGGAGAAGCTGTTAACATATTGAGGATGATCAGATGCCCTTCAGGGAGCTCAGATGAGTTGGGTTCAAGTTGAAGCAAAATAAAAACTAACATGTTTTTTCACGACTAAAAGTTCCGGCGAAGAGGAATCCGGTTTGTTCATTTGGGTATTGTTAAAAGAGATCCTTGTCTGTGTTTTGTCTGTTATTTTTGATAATCTGTTTGTGTTTTCTTATGTATCTGTTAGTTTCATTTCAATGTTTGTAGCTTCTTATGTTTATTGTTCTTATAACAATTAGGGTTATTTTATCGGATTTGTCTTCACCGGGTTCCATAATTTGGGACTCTTTTGATGGAATCTTAAATTATTAAGAAGGAAAAAAAGCTGTCGTCTTCTTCATTTCAAATTTTAACATTCTTTTACCAGTCAGCTAAAGCAGAGATTTCTTGTGAGAAAAGCAAGAAATTAGGGATATAAAGAAAAGCTAAGATCAAGAAAAAGTGGCTAGGGTTACTGGTGTAATGATGCTATCTGAGTTATTTAAATTAATAATAAGAAGCTTCATTTGTTGGAACCATGTGTATGGGACTCTGCGAAAACTCATCAAATTAATGAGTCTGATCTTTACTGAATTATGGAAATCGAGGAAACGTCTCAAGAAGTGGTATATTAAAATACACTATCCAGTTTGGGCTTTTCAGAGTGATTACATTTGAACAGAAGAACCCTAGTTTCAGTGGCCAAGAAAAAGAGGATTTGAGCGTGCTTTGTCTGGTACAGACCACGTTTTTCTTTCTAGGAGTTGGGAAAGAAGAAATTCATGAAATCGAAGTTTAGATTTATCATCTAAACAAAAGAATAGAAGACAGAGATGTGTTATCATTTACGTTGTCCGAAGCAAAACTGAGCCTCGGTAATTTGCAATACATTGTTTTTTTTGTCCGTTAGTAAGCAATTCAACTATAGCATTAAATGGAAATGGTATGTAACGTTTTTGACTTTCTAAGCCAATATCTAACCTTTTTCATTTAAAATGAAACATGAAACAGAGTTAGTCAAAATCAGGTCAGGCAATTTCCATTTTTGTATAATCTCTTTCTTTCATTTCATATACAACTATTTTATGTATCCGAGTAATTTCATTATGTTGACTTGGATCGTAGACAGATCAAGAAATAAGGACTCCTCAAAGTCAAGGATGAAGGATCAGTTATAAGCTTACATTTAAGATCATAATATTAGCCCAAACGAATAAAGGCCTCAACATATATGGGCTTAGCTAGTATATAAATCCATTACCCAAAAAGATCCACGCTTGCTTAACTACTTCAAATTTATCCATGCTTGGTATTGTAAATCTTCTTGCTTGGCTCAATTTTATCCATACTTGGTAGGCTTTTCTTCAAATTCATCGATTGACCTCCATAAAAAGCATTTTACGATGATGATCTCTCTAATCCAGTTTGTAAAACACCCAATTCCCATTACATTACGCAGTTAAGGCAAGAGTTTGCTTCTATGCACAAGTGACAAGTATAAGAGTTACCAGTACCTTGACAGCTCCTAGTTACAGTATGATCAGTAGATTTTAGAATCCGAGTTTCGAGTTTTAATTCATGATTCAAATCTATATACTCTTTTGCTTGTTGTGGTCTCATGGAATGAATAATTTCTCGAGACTTTTGTCTTGTAACAAAGTATCAATGCTCTCTTTTTCAAGGAATTGAATTCATTCAAACTAAGCGGTGGAGTCCAAAGTATCAATGTTCTCCAAAAATTTCATTAACAATTTATTTAAACCACCAATCCAAACTTCTATAAAAGAAGTTGAAAGATTATGTATATACTGTAATGATAACAAAAGGTATTTGATCATCCATAAGGGTTTCATAATTCAAACCCAAAGAGAATAAAAATAATTTACAAATCAATCCCTTGGACTTTTAACCAAATATATAATCACCATTAAATAAACCTATGAATCTGTTCATTGACCAGTCTGCACCAACCAGGAGTTATTCAACTGTGAAACAGCCGTCTCCCTGAAACTCTTGACCTTCACCAAGCAGAAATGGGTGCAAACCGTTCCCATACCCGAACCGACCCGGGTCGTTTTCAATAGGTAGCAAACCGGTCCACAATCCGTTCCTCTTCCCTGCGCCACTATCCCCCACGCGCTTGTACTCTCGCCACCGTAATCTTCTCCCTCTGAGTTCTGATCTCGATCCTCTACTTCATCGTCGGCGAGCTTCTCCACCAAAATCACTCCCTCAGGCGTTCTCTCTTCTCCTCTATCCCATCTTCCTTCCATCGCCGTCCACTCCTCCGCCTCCGGATTCGTGGCGGTTGTAGTCAAACCTCCGTTCGCCTCCGCGTATAAGTGCACCAACAACGGCGATTCTCTCAGATTCTTCACGATCTCAACCACCGAATCCCTCAACCACTCGTCGATCTTTTCCCGCGACACAACGGATCCGCCGCGTTTCCTTTCTCCGATATTCGTCCGTTCAAGCTTCACCGCCTGATGAGTCGGTGCCAAATCTGCCATCGCCATCGAAACCTTCCCGATCTCGTACCAATTCCGTCGATTAATTACCGGAAGCACACACGAAGACGATCGAGCGGTGACCGTTCGCCGATCACAACGAACGGCACATGCGTTTCCTCCTCCGCAACAAATCCTCACAGAAGACGCCATCTCCGCCTACCGGAAGAAACAATGCAGAGAGAATCGGAGAAGAAAAAGGTCGACGATGCGATCGATTGATTGGAGATTGCTTCACGCAAATAAACCTTTGAAGATTCTTCTAATGGACGATTTCTTGTTTCTTATAAAATCGATTTCACCAATGGTTGCTTCTCTCTATACGTTATACTGACTCAGCCACACACAACCCAATGGCAATGATGGATTTAAATTATATATCTAATTCTTTCCTTCAACATGGATTGTAACTTGTTTGATCGGACGGTTGAGATTAAGAGATACTAGAAATCGCGTTTAACTTATTCTTCACGCTTCGTCGAAACTCTGAGGCGGTCAAGTAGGCGATAATTCCCTGGAAAGTGTACACAAAAGAGACCCGATAGTGATCTGATATTAACCGTTCGATCAAAATCGAACGGTGTTAATAAGGAGTAGGCAATTATGGGCAAGGAGAACGTGGCGACGCGGTTTAGCTGTGTGCATGGCTTGGGAGGGCACGCGCATGTAGGTCTTTTAAATTGTGGTGAACACGTGTCATCCATGTCATTTATAATCTAGACCACTGGATGCTCCACGTCAGAGTCCACGCTGTACTATTAAGTCAAAATGGATTTGGGCCTTTTGTTTAGAAGAAGAAAATGTTTTTCTAGGTTAAAATGGTTTTTGGGCTTTGCCTGATTTACTTTAACACGCTTCTTAATAGGTTTCTTTCGCATGTCAGGATTGGATCATTTGACCGAGTTTTGGATATGTATGTAGGAATCTCGTGCTATAAAACACACAACGACAAAGCACACACATCAAAATCCATAAGTAAGCATAAAAAACGTCGTAACGTAAGGACATATGTGACACAAATCGTGATCAACTGTGCAAAAAACACCTAAAGCCATGAAGCCTAAGCTAGAGATTGACAACTGGATCAGTCAAAGGCAACGTGGCTTAATATCTTTTATATAAATCCACCCTTTGCATCATTTGTAGCAAGTATAGTGGTAGTATATATATAAAATTAACCATGAGCATCGTTGTTACTATCATCTTGATCTTTGCTATTTTAGCGGTGAGCCTTGACGGTAAAAGAGAGAAAACCATGGAGCCGTGTCTCGAGTCGATGAAGACGGCTTCACTGCCTGATCTTCCTTACGCTTACGATGCGCTAGAGCCAGCGATCAGTGAGGAGATCATGCGGTTGCACCACCAAAAACACCACCAGACTTACGTCACTCAGTACAACAAAGCTCTCGGCAGCCTCCGCTCCGCCTTGGCCGACGGTGATCACTCCTCCGTCGTCAAACTCCAAAGCCTCATCAAGTTCAACGGCGGAGGTAAAAAAACCCAGCTCTGAACCGAAGTTAAATTTTTTTCCATCCGGTGCTTGTTGATCTTAAGGAACTGGATTGTTTTTGTTACTTGTAGGTCACGTTAACCACGCAATCTTCTGGAAGAACCTAGCCCCTGTTCATGTACGCAACACCTTTCTTAATTAATCGTCACTCCATATTATTTTTGTGATGAGTATTCATATATTAATTATCTCTAATATATATATGGCTCAAATGGACTATGTAGGAAGGAGGTGGTAAGCCACCGCAAGATCCTTTGTGTTCTGCGATCGATGCTCATTTCGGATCCTTAGAGGGATTGATGCAAAAGATGAATGCTGAAGGCGCTGCTGTGCAAGGATCTGGATGGGTGGTAAGCCTTTAATCTCTCATCAACCAGAATCAGTTCACCGATTGATTTTGAGATTAAAAAAAATTGTAAATCTTTTGAAAAGAATTATTACAATCCAGTTTAATATGCAAATTGGCTGATCGTAGTTCATAAATATAAAAGGAACATTCGGTTGAAAATAGAGGGATCTACATACACCGGGCCAATAAGTTAGTATTTAAGAGACAAAATCACTCACCTTAAAAAATAATAAAATAAAGGAATTTATTATATACTCGAGAAGATATGTAAAGAACCGCGCCAGTAAGTTGGGGGTCCTAGAAGAGAAAGAACCACTCTACGCTTAATTTTGAACCTATGAATTTTGACATATCACTTTTTCTAAAGAAATATGTTTGTTTACTGATTGTGTTATACTCTATTTTGGTAAATAGTTCATAGTTGCATTATGTTTGTGCTTCCTTTGTTTTAGTGGTTTGGATTAGACAAAGAGCTGAAGAGACTTGTCGTTGAGACCACAGCCAATCAGGTAGATCAGTAAAAACGTTATTTAGTAACATTAACTATCTCAAAAATAAAATAAAAAACATAGAAAACATATGACGGAGAGAGAAACTATAGGATCCGTTGGTGACTAAAGGACCACATTTGGTACCTCTAATCGGGATTGACGTATGGGAGCACGCTTACTATCCGCAGGTACTCAAATAATCTGTATTTCATTATTTGATACATGTAGAGAAATATAGTTACAAAATGGTTTTAGCTAGTAACGAATTACATATGATTAATATCAACTTTGATCATCATTGCAGTACAAGAATGCAAGAGCGGAGTACTTGAAGAACATTTGGAGTGTGATCAATTGGAAATATGCCGCAGACATATTCGAGAAGCACAATCGAGATCTAAACGAGTTTTAGGGAAACATATATAACATCTATGTCTATATATGTCGATAGAGTTGGTAAAGCCTAATGTTTGATAGAGTTAATAAAAATGGAAGTAGTGAAGATCCAATAATTACATTAAAAATGCCATGTACCTTGGGAAAGAAATAATGATGTTGTTATGTGCTGTGTGATATAAAGCTGTGAATTGTGATTTGTATAGGCTTATAGGCGACGGATTCACTAGGTTACGTGCTGTGATATGAAGTAGTGATTTGGTAATTTTGGTATAAGATATATGACCTTGTTTATTAACGTCATTCAACAAAATGATCAGAAATTTGTTGTCCTCTTCTGTTGGTAATTTCCATGTCACCGACTCACCGCTCTTTGTCTCCCAAATAATGAATTAGTGATTTGTGTGCTATTTCTATTTGAAATGATCTCCAACTTGGAGTTTTTTTTTCTCGGGATCTCCAAAGTGTGTACACTGTTATAAAACCGAATTCAAAGTTAATTTTAATTCATTAACCTCGTAAAATATTGACACTTTACAAATATAATATTAATTCATATTCATGAATTATCTATCAATTATTCAATTATGATGAGCCAGGCCTTGGGCTTGCAGAGTATCAATAACGGGCCTCAAACATTTAAGTTAACCCACCGTAATAAAACCCTAAAGGGGGAACCGTGTACATATAATACAGATTACTTTGGGTTTTTAGGGTTACAGCATTCTTCCTCTGTCGCCGCAAAAAAAGAGAACAGACGCAATAGGCTTGAAGCTCTCTGCTGCAACATGGCAAGTCTTCGTGTTCTTAGATAGATTCATCGTCTTAGAACATAGATTCAAGTTGACGGATAGTTAAGAGATTTCGTAAAAGCAAGATTTTGTATTTAAATTCGAGTTTTTGTTTTTTGCAGACTTTCAAGCGCAGGAATGGTGGCAGGAACAAGCACAACCGTGGTCATGTGAACCCCATCAGGTGTTCCAACTGCGGGAAGTGCTGCCCCAAGGTTCGATGATTGATTTCTCGAAGCTAGATTTGTCTTTGATTGAAGATGATTTATAATGAATTTGATCTGATTTTGGTTTTTCATTGTGATAGGACAAGGCGATTAAGAGATTCATCGTCAGGAACATTGTTGAACAGGCTGCCATCAGAGATGTTCAAGAAGCCAGCGTCTACGATGGTATGTTTTGAATCATTCTCGTTTCTACCTTATCGCGCATTGTTGATTTATGTTTGTTTGTTCTGTGTTTTATAGATTTTTTCGTTGATTGGATTCGTAGGTTACACTCTCCCAAAGCTGTACGCTAAGATGCAATACTGTGTGTCATGTGCAATCCACTCTCACGTTGTGAGAGTCCGATCCCGCACCAACCGTAGGGTCCGTACCCCTCCTCCCCGTTTTGCCAGACGCAAGGTAACAAGCTCTCTATACAATCACTTCAATTAACCTGTTTCTTTTTTCGTTTTTATATACAAGTTTTCTAAATGCAATTCTGTATAGTTTGCTTTTTAAATGTGGAATTGGTTCGAAGTAGAACTCGTGAGTTGCACTTGTGTATTTGGCTGAACAAGAAATGCCTTTCGTTTTGATATTCCTTGAGAGTTGTATTAGAACGTGAAATCTACACTTTTGTTATAATTGTTTCAAGCTTTTCTTGACCTTGCTGCACAAACTTTACATTATATATACTCTCTGTTTTGTTGAATCTTCTCTTGACCAAGCTGTTTTTGACTCGTCTATGTTTGATCTATGTATTGCTTTTAACTGATGAATGGTTTCGAATGTGACTAATTTTCAGGAGGATACTCCCAAGCCTGGACAACCTGGTCAGGCTCCTCGCCCAGCTGGTGGTGCTCCTGCTGCACCTCGTGCTTAAAGACTGCCTCCATCCCAAAACTCTTTATTTTCTATTTTCAGTCTCAGTGTTTGAATTTTTTGAAGATGTTTTCTACATTTGGTTAAAGATCATTTTGTCATGTCAAGCTTTGAACGCTCTAAGACTATTTATCAGTTTATTTTGACTTTGGCGCTCTATTTTACTTGTGCTTGTATTTTCAAGATTAATCTTGAGCAACCACAGATTCGCTAATCTTAAGTACTGATCTCCCCAAATTCTTGTTGACCAGCATACAATGGAACGCAGAATTGCTACTAAAATGCTAATTTACGATACGAAAAATCATCTCTGCATTTTATCCTTGGCTATTCTTATATAATGTTACAAAATGCTAATTGAAAAATGAAATCATCTCTGCATTTCAATCTTGGCAATTCTTATATGTGAGAAATATGAAAAAGGAAATCAACTCTGCATTTCATCCTTGGCAATTCTTATAAAATGTGCCATGGGGCAATCTGTTTTGAGAGCATTAGATATAATATGAGATCTGCTAACAGCGTATCCCTCCTGCGAAATTCCAAAAGCGCACAGGTTTTTTAGCTTTACTATCTTCACATTTGTGTCTTTAGAATTCAAAGGTATGAGAATGCAACTACTATTTTACCTTAGCAAGTGCACTCATCATCTTCTTCAACGAAGGTGAGTTCATCTTCGCACGCTTCGACATCTGATGACAATATAAACAAATTATTTTCATGTAATGAGGAAACAGAGTGCGCCTTTCTTATCAATCAAAATGTAAGTAACTTTTGAAAGTTCCTAGGACCTGATCCATTATGGTGTACCCGGGAGGCAGTCTTAGATCGCTCTCTTCAATCATTATGCTTAGAAGCTTCTCCAGATCCATGCCAGTGCCTTCACTGATCCATCCCCATTCCTTCGCCAATTCCAGCATTTCAGTAACATATGATGCGTCATGAAGCGGTCCAAGCCACATTGGTCCTGAAACTACCAGTGAAGAAGAAGCCTTTGTATCACTGCACGGACAGCCAATCAGACCAAGTTCGTCCCATCTCACTGTATGAGAATGGCCACATAGATGACAAAAAGTGACAAAACCATAGTTCCTGCAGTTTACACACAAGAGAACTCCAATTAGAAGCGCAACATAACCAAAAATCGAATCCTTTAAGTCAGCTTCAGAATGTAAAGACCACCTGTCCTCATGTAGCTTCCCACGGTGAACACGAAGCAACACTCTAAATATAGGTCCGTGATAAGAATAGTATGAGAAAAGGGGCGTAACATTATAACCAAGCAGAGATGCTTCTCTTACAGCACCGCCTATAAGCATCCGTAGCCCAATCTCATTCCCAAATGGCATTGGCCGAATAAATGCTCCATAGGCTGCTAAGGAACTACACCAAAAGGAAACCACGAAATGTTTATAACTTTCAACATTCTTCGTCCCTATTGATATAACATATGCCCAGATATATTACAATGCAAAATCCCAAATAAAACCGATGAAATCCAGAAATGTAAGTAAAGCATCAAACTTCAAATATATATTGTATGCTTTCACTCACTTGTAAGGTCTGTGACCACCAGAGGAGTAACCATCTGTTGACGTCAGGTAAAGCAAACCACCCAATCTCAATGCATTAAACGCATCTCGCAGAAAAGCCGAGTCGCTCCCAAACGAATCGATGTCAATCAAATCGAAGAAATCCCCAACCATATATCGCTCAATCATCGCTTTGTTAGCCAACATATGCGTCACGACCCATCTCCTATCATCACCTGTGCCTCTCTCTATTTTACTCAGATTGTCCGTGATTACCTTCCGATTAGCATCGTTGGCGTCGTTCGCTATGACGAAATCAGCATCCGCCTCCGCAAGATAACGAAGTGACCTGATTCCGCATCCGCACATGGCGTCGAGTACCCGTAAGCTTCCTTTGGATCTCTTGTAGAGCGTCGCCGATAGCACACCGAGGTCTCGTCCTCTGGCGCTCTCATGGCGGAAAAACGTCTCTCCCGTTTCGAATTCGAGTCCTCTCTCAATCTGGACCTCGGATTTCACGAAAATGAGAGTATGTCTACCTGAATTTGGGGATTTACGTCTAGGGTTTTGCGATTTGTGCACTGTGAACGAAGAAGAGGATAGGGTTTTAGGAGAGAGAGTTAACATAGCGGGAAATGAAAAATCTGACTGGCTGCTTAATCCCAGAGGGAAATGAAAATCTGTTTTTTTGCCCTCTTTATTTAAATAATCTAGTCCGTCCGATATATAGCCACGTGTATGGAAGAGATGAACCTCGTATTAGCACCCATGTGATGAGCCACGTCGTCAAGCTTATGATTAGTAATAGTAGGTCCCATGTTTTACGCGTATGATCGTCTACACTCGATACCACCTAAGAATACGATACGCTTTGTTACCTTTCATGGAATTTGAGTTTCTGTTTCTGGGTTATGGATTTTGGAGATATTAGGGTTTTGCTAAATCAAAGACGTTTCTTTTGGGCATTGACCATGAAGCTGAAAGAGTCTCCGACAACGATGAAAAAGAAGACGAACGAAGAATAGAGAAAAAATAGTTTTTTTTGGGCTGAAAATTATTTGAGGAGCAGGTGAAGTTAAATTTTTCATGACACAAAAATGGCAGATTGGTTTAGGTCTTCACTTTTATGAACCTTCCATAGTTATAAATATATATGTGTATATATTTATCTTCCAACTTCGTGGTTTATATATCCTTTACATTACTTGGTGATAATTTCCCCCTTTCTTTTTTTTTTTTAATTATTGTTTCGGTTTCTCTTCTCAGCTCTTGATCAATGAATACAAATCGGTATCGAATAACAATTGCTTTCCGTTTCATTTACTTATTCAAATCTGTTTTATCTGGGTATATTTTTTCCATCTAAGATTTTTTTTGTTTGTTTGAAAAAAAGTTTGGTGTAACGTGTATGTCTGTGTCTATCCGTAAGATCTAAAAACCAAACGCTGGAATTTTTTTCTCCAGGTGAAATAATCTTGTGCTTAATCTTAAGCAATCCAATGAATAGAAACATAACTTGCCTCGGAATCGGCTTTTCTTTATTTTTCTTATGAATTTGGTGTCAATTAAATTGGCTTGTTTCTGATGATCTGTGTTGATTTCAATTGTGAGATGAAAAAAGGTTTTGCCTTTCCGCGTGAATCTCGTTTTTTATTCCTGGGTCTTGATTTTTTATAATTTTTTTTTGTCTTGAGCTATCTTCGTGGTCCTTTTGTTAAAACTTAAAGATGAAACCAAAACAAAAACATGGGATTTTCTAAAATGCAATCCTAAACCCTGTTCCAAGTTTTGATTTTGATTTTTTTTTTCTTTTCGATTTTTTATTTCTCGCAGGAATTAAAGCCAATTGAATATTCACAGATTAGCCCAAAGAATCTCAGGACAAATGGACTAAATCGGCAGGTACTCTTCCGATACTTAAAACCTCAATTTTATATAGTTTATCTACGTTTACCAGTGTGGACGAAAAAAAAAATCTGATTTTTGAAGACATGGCTGAGAATTTTGAGCTAGTTTTGCAGTATGAATAACCCCTACACAAGATGAATATCATTTTTGACTACATTGTTTTGCTTTTTAAAATATGTGATTTTGAGTGTTTGATTTCTCTATGAGGTGCTAAATCTTAGGATAACAAAATACTGCATTCACTATCGACATGCTCTGTTTCGGTTTTCTTGCTTAGGTTGTATATCACTCACTCTCTGTATGGCCTAGATTGTTTTAAATCATTCACATGTGAATATTGTAGAAATCAAATGTAGGTTCTTTTTTTGGTGCTAATCACTAAATTGATCTTCTCTGTTTTCTCTAAATCCGTGATATAATTTGGGAGCTTAAGTAATTGGACAACAGCTTCTTCCCGTCTTCATTGCTTTAGTATCCTTTTCTTTGTCTAATGCGATCACAATAAAGTCTAACTCGTTTTATTTTTTGAAACATCTACTTGTTTCTGTGGGTTGTAGATGTCACACTCATACAAGTGGCTCACTGGGTTGAGGATTCGTGTATTGTCCATCTGAAGTTTTAGTTTGAAGTTATGCTCACATGGGTGATATTCAAGAAAGATTGTCAGTTTCATCATCTTCGTCTTCTTCATCATCCTCATTGTCGCTATCAACAGCACAACCTAAAGGGGATTCATTGCCAATAGATGGTGAGTCTTGGATGATTGCAGAAGAGAGAGCTCATGAGATACTAAACACTATACAACCTGCCGTTGTTTCAGACAGAAGTAGGAATGAGATCATTGATTATGTACGATCCCTAATCATGAGTCATTATGGAATTGAGGTTAGAAACTTCGGTACTCTTGCTGGTTAAGCTTTTTGTTTGTTGAATTTCAAATGGAAAATTGTATCTACACAGGTCTTTTCGTTTGGTTCAGTGCCACTAAAAACCTATCTCCCAGACGGAGATATTGATCTGACGGTCCTAACCAAGCAAAATGTGGAGGATAAATTCTTGGAAAAACTGTTCGATACGCTTAAAAGTGAAGAAGGGGAATCTAAATTCCATGTAACTGATGTTCAACTTATCCCTGCACAGGTTTGTTTGTTTGTTTCCTTTTGGCTTTAGTTTTGTATTTTCAAGTTGCTCCAAAATTTTCTCAAGGAAGTTTGCTGCTGCTGCCATTCTGGATTGTAGGTCAAGGTCTTAAAATGCAACATCAGGAACATTCATGTGGATATCTCCTGTAATCAAACGGCGGGTCTCTGCGCGTTATGTTTTCTGGAACAGGTACCATCAGTTATTCAAGAGTAGGCTCTAGAAGTCTACTAAACATATCATTACTCAGCTTTGATTCCTAATTACTGGTTAATATGTGGTTTGATGTATTCTTAGGTTGACCAACTCTTTGGGAGAGATCATCTTTTCAAGCGTAGCATCATCTTAATTAAATCTTGGTGCTATTACGAGAGTCGAATTCTTGGTGCTAACACTGGATTGATCTCTACCTATGCATTGGCAGTACTAGTCTTGTTCATCATCAACCTATTTCATACATCATTATCTGGCCCTTTAGCGGTAATCACCCTTTCTCTGAAGCTTTAGCATCGTTTGCAATAAGTGATATATGCAAAATATGAGATTTTAAGTCATATTTTTCAACAGGTTCTGTATAAGTTCTTGGACTACTATGGTTCATTTGATTGGAGTAACTACTGTATCTGTGTCAGTGGTCCTGTGCCAATATCTTGCCTTCCAGAACTTGTGGGTAAGAATGATGTCAAAAATCGCAGACACTTCTTTTTGTGGCCTTTTCTCTCCTTTATTTGACGTTCTGCTTTGATACCCTCCCTCTCTCTCTTTTCTCTCTCTCTTTCTCTTTCTATTTCCAGCAGTTTCTCCAGAAAATGGGCATGAGTTATTGCTTGACGAGAAGTTTATAAGAGACTGTGTACAGTTATATTCTGCTCCAACTAAAGCTGTTGAAACAAATGGTCTTGAGTTTACTATCAAACATCTCAACATAGTTGATCCACTTAAACACAGCAACAACCTTGGAAAAAGTGTTACAAAAGGTACTTTATTGGAAAAAGCTCTATAACAATGTAAAAGTTGTCAAAAATGTTCATTGTTTTTTAAAACATTTTGTTAGGAAATTTCCAACGAATAAGACATGCTTTTACACTGGGAGCTCGAAAGCTCAGAGATGTTCTTTCACTACCTGGTGAAACCATGGGATGGAGACTGGAGAAATTCTTTGGCAATTCTTTGGAGAGGAATGGTAAAGGACAAAGACTAGATGTGAATGATCCAGTTACTGCGTTTGGTACTGGAAGATCAGAATTATCTGAACTCAGTGGAGATTTTGAAGGTTACTTTGGAAGACTTGTGTATGGGCAAATGTATCACGGGTATAGCTTACCTGGAACATTTCAACACAGCTATATCCCGGTCGCTTCTCAAGTTAGGGACGCAAGTGCTTGGGATATTGTCCGTCGCCGAAAGAATGAGATTTATCTAGGTGGTCTGAATGGATCAACTTCTGTGCAGCCTTTGCCTCTGCAGTCTTTAGATATTGTCTGTCAAAACATGGGAAAGACGAGAGGAACGGGAACTTATATTCCTGACATGGTATGCGATTTTCCCGCTTCTGAATTATTGACTTTAACTTTAACCTGTTTGCTGCAAGCTTCTAAAATGCTTCTCACTGGTTTTTGCAGAGTCAACAGTTAAACTCTGACAGGTTCAGAGACTCGGGTAATGAAAACTCATCAACTCATCATTTAGAAGCTTCCGCTGAGGCAAAAGATGATGATGGAGCCAGTCGTTGCTGCAATGTTTCTGGTGAAGTGTCTACTTGTGCCAGTATCGAAGGAGAAATATGTGTGAAATCAGAGACTTCTACTAACCCAGATCAGCATGTGTTGAAATCTCCAAGATTAGGGAATTTGGAGATTGATGCTATTTGCCAATCTTCACCACCAGAAAACCACCTAGTAGAAGTTTCTATATCTTCAAGAACATTGGGAATGGAAAATGGCAAAGAAAAGGAGAGCAAATCCTCCCAAACGTTGAACGGTTCTTGACTTTAGTGATTGTGACAGAATCTTTGGTTGATCTCTTGCCTTCAGGATATTAGGTTGTCTCTTAACCACATGGACAAACTCTTATTTAGGATTCAAAAGATTCATCAGAAACTTGATTACTTTTTATCGACCAATGTTTCATGAGAGATCTCTTCTTCATTGTTGTAGGAAAGAACATACACTAGTGGTATGTATAAATTAGCAGTTACTGAGAAAATTTATCTGCTATATGTCTTTTGGTGAGAATTCCGTAAATTTATTGATCAATTTTCATACGGGATCTCCTCAGTTTTAACTTTTTGTAAACTTGTGGGAACCTTTTTTTCTGCAACGAGTAACAAGTGGCCTCTAAAATACTTAGGTCTACCATACAATATTTGAACACGTGATGTAGTGATCAACGTCGCTAGTTAAACGGCCTTCAATACAGCAAGATACTTGGTTCTGTAGGTGAGACGGACCACGTGTTTTTGCTGGGGAGAGATTCCTTTATCTACCAACAATTCTCTATCTGATCTGGTCGCTTCTTTTAATGTTTTTCTTCTTCCTTGCACTTATCCTTTCTCCAATCCTCTGCAAATACCTCTACTTCTTCTACACCTACCCTTGTTAATATCTTGTGTTTCATCTCTTTCAAAAACTCGGCGTAGCTCAGAGCAGTGAGCAAACTAAGGACATCAAGAACTTCCCTCATTGCTTTCTCGACTTTCACAAGTAAAAAACCAGCGACAACAATAGCTGCTTTCTCGACCTTTACCAGCTCTTGACTTCAGTGATTGGTTGGTCCTTTTGTATACCTCAGGATAGCTAGATTGGGATTTAGTCAGGAACTTCATTTGTTTGTTGACCAATGATTCATTAGAGATCTCTTCTTCTGTAACACACCATACACTAGTTGTATAGTTTAGCAGTTGATTTGTCATTTGTCGGCTATTTCTCTGAGTTAACTTCCCTTCATATTGTTAATCCATATTCATACATAATCTCTTCAGTTTCAACATTTTGGTACTTGTGATGTGGCCATTTGTGTAGAAGAGTAACAAATGACTTAAAAACATTTATTCACTTAGTACTCCTTACATAAACACACATGTTTCAAGTTTCGTACAACATACACTTTATTGCTGTCTGATTAACAATACATTTCATGTGTCGTGTTACAAGATGAAGAGAAAAAAATACTATACAGAAACACAAGGCAGTCTTTGAGATTTGAATGCCTCACAGCAAGGAATTATACAGCTGAGTGTGATACTGTTTGAGGAGTGAGAACGTACATATGACAATCGTGTGGGTCTACTTGAGCTTCAAACGAAACAGATGCGTTATCTGTTACATCTTTGTGCTGCCACAAATCTCTCACTGATAGGCTAATGGTAGATTCAAGACCAATCGCATTCCATGATGCTGTAATGGTTGCAGGCTCTGAGCAACGGTTCCAGAGAGCGATTACCATACGGTCACCAGTTAAAGGCCCTGACCACACCTGGAATCAAACAGTCATCACAAGTTTGTGAGCCCTTACGTTTGCGGTTCTATGAGTCTGAAAAATGTTTGGCTCCCAATTCATACCTGTTGACAATCATTTTCCCCATTGCCTTGGATTTTCCTTCCTTGGACACCTAGTGGGTCTGCAACCAAAAGTGTTCATATTTTTCAGTCTTCGATGCGAAAAATTATAAATGCTGAGAAGCTAACGAGTTTTAAAAGAAGGAAGCTCACCTTGGTTTACAGCAATGACCTCCTTATTGCTCAAAATCTCAAAAGTTTCAGCGGTCATCTTTCTTACATCACAACCAATCAAAAGGGGTGCCTGCAAGAGAAGCATAGGGATGAGATGAGATCTAATATACGAAAGAAAGAAAAGAAGAACATGAAGTTAGTAGTTGCATACCTTCATCAAAGCCCAAATGCTAAAATGACCACGGTACTCCTCGTAAGTCATCCCTCCATTCCCAACTTCCAACATATCCGGATCTAATGCAGTGTAAACGATTGTTATCAATACTTCAAGTGTAATAGTTTCTAACTTAATAAGAGATCACTCTTTTTTAAGATCTTAAATGATTGTTTTACCATTCCAACCACCAGGTCCAGCATATGCAGCCCACTTGTTATTCAAATCAGCAATTGTAGTCATACTTGATAAACACAAATGAAAAAAAAGAGAGTCAAACCAATTACTGTCCGAGCAACTCGATGTTCATACTACTCAAATCTCATCAAAAGCAAACGAAACACGAGGTTCTCTAATGCCAACCTTGCCCATGTATCGTTGATGTCATCGGTTGTGCGCCAACTGTTTCCAACTTCTTTTGCCCACAAGGCAGGATCATCAACGCCCCTGCAAACACGGATAATATGGTAACCAAAAGGTATAAAACTTAGTCTTCCTGTTTAAAGGCATTTTGAGGTATGTACCATTCACAAAGCGAGTAGAAGATTGATCGACCAGTCGCGTTTAGAGCATCACGCATTGGAGGGTATCTGGAAAACGTAAACGTATAAAGTCATTACAAGATTATACCAATAAAAGTTCATGGTAAATGGTATCACATCAAATCATAGAGAACAAAACCTTTCGATTGGTTTTATTCCCAGGTTGAAACAGTTGTCATATTTCAGATAATCAACACCCTGGAAATCAAGTATACCGATGAGAAACCATGGCAAAGATACCACCAAGAATCAAAACATTGTAATCATTTTTTGTTATTAGGGATACAAGATGATTCATTTCAAAAGCTCATTAAAGAGAAACTGGCTGAAAACTAACCCAAGAAGCAAAAATGTCTGCATCATCCTTTTCATGGAAAAGGGATCCTGGACGAACTTGACACGTGAAAACGCTGAAAGAGGAAGAAATTGGGGAACATTCAAAATATAAAACAGGAGACTGTATGCTATCATTTCGTTGAGAGACTAACAATACAAAAGAGGTGCACGAATCTTAACCTACCCAGCATCAGAATATATACCGAGTTTGAGACCCTTTGAATGAATATAATCCGCAAGAAACTTAATCCCTGATGGGAAGGTTTCAGGATGAGGAACCAATTGACCCTGGATTTCAACATTCATCAGAAGAAAGTAAGCATCCAGCTTCCAGTTAACATGATTTACGGAACACACAGCAAAAAAATAAACAGAAATTCTACATAAATATCGAGAGTAAGGCTAATGTCACCTCAGGACATTAGCTCACTACAGATTAGCACTTTCAAGATTAACTAACCACAAAAGTTAGACTCAAGTAAATACTAGTGATCTTACCTTTGAATCCCGTAGCAGATTGGACCAACAATCATCTGCAACAAACCAAAACGTGTGAAACCTTTGAAGCAGTAAGGATTCGAGAATCTCAGATAGAGAAAACATAAAGAGGTAGGTCCAAAGGGGAAAATACCGATATTGACATGTATGTATCCTAAATCAGCCAAGCCGGATGAGACTAGAGCATCAGCTATTAATTGAGAGTAAATAAAATATCAGCAACTTCAATGAACTTAGAAAAGAAAAAAGATGAAACATGTGAGTAGCTTTTTTTTGAAAAAGCTACGGATTTTTACCAGTTTCTTTGATGACTATTTCATTGATATTGCAAGCAAAGAAGTTCCAGCTATTCCATCTGTCGATTAACAAAGCACGAGTCCAATAAGAGACCTTCAAATTTATAAACTTTACACCACAAAGAAAGACAAAACACACCAAAAAGTTGCTCCTTTTACATTAAAACCGAAACTCAGAAGCTAATTAGCAGAACAAGAAACAACCCACGAAAAGTCAAAACTCCAACAATATGAGATCGAAAAAAGCTAATTCCTTGAACCTAACCCCATTTGTGGAGTTCGAGCGAGGCCATTGTTGAGCTGCAAGCGACCGTACATAGAAGTATCATAGATCGAATTGAAAGATTTGCTGAAAACCAAACCACCAGTATTGCTCTGCAACAATGGCGCTTTGACTCTTCCAGCCATCGACTGAGAGACCAAAACAGATAAAGAGAAGAGCCCAACGAGGAACAAGACCGAATCTTTCATCTTCTTTGAAACCGCCATGAACGTCCCCACACTCCTCCAGGGATTTATATATCTCTACTCGTCCTTGTTGAAGAAGACGAAAATGGTTTTAGAATAGAAAATGGAGTCGTATCGATATCTCCAAAGAATAAAATAGTTTAAGGAGTTCTAGAATATACTTACGAATTATACATCGTTTTCATTAAATTACAATCTTAGGTAGATAATTTAGACCATCGTTTAAAGTTAAACTTACTGATATTCACTGGTAAGAAGGTTGAACTTAAAAAAAAAAACTAAATCGAATTAGTTTTAGCTTCAATAAAATAAGGGTCAAAGTCTCAAAGACAGGTCACCATATCTTTTGCCTGACCAAAAAAAAAAAGAGGCAATTTTAAATCGATACATAGATTTATAGATTTATCCCAAAATACTATCCTATAATTGTACACAAGAAAATACAAATTCGACGCCTCATAAATCACCAGATCACTAAACTCCCACGTAACCACATTAATCACAGCCATGTTATTAATTTGTGGCCCCCTATCTATTTCAACCCCTACCACATACAAACCACATATATGTTTTTTTTTATATAAAATCAACTACAATGTGTCATCTCGTTTACTTGGAATCAGAGTGAAAACTAAAAGATGGGTCTAAGAGCACTGCCTCTTCAACATAACGGAGGGTTCGTCTCCACGACCAAAGTCCCGTTCTCAAGGACCTCGCCGAGAATAAGCCGGAGCCCTAGATGGATCGTCGTGTCTGCGAAGCAAGAGAAAGATGATGAGGAGGAGAAGAAGAAGGAAGAGGAGACTTCGTTGTTCACTAGACTAACGGATGCGTTGGATTTCTCACAGGTTCGGTCGGAGAAAGACGCTGAGCTTCTCTACGAGGCCCGTGAAGCCACCAAATCTGGCGGCAAGATGAGCAAAGAACAGGTCGGTCATCTTAATCAACTATACCACTTTATATTTTTTTTGTTAAATTATGAAATATATCCAAAGTAATACGATAATAAATTATGAAATATACCCAAAGTAAATAGTAACCATACCGATCCTTTACTTCTTTTTTTTGTTAAAAACCCTTCAATATATTTTTATCTTTTGGTAAAACCCCCATTAATATATAAAGCTTGCTTTTTCTCATATTACCCATGATGTGGAACTTGAATTCTAAACATGTTTGATATATTCGTGATGGTCCAGTATGGGGCATTGAGAAGAAAAATCGGAGGGACATACAAGGACTTTTTTAAATCCTACGTTGAAGGTAAACTCTAGAGAACTATTTGTATTTGAAAAAAAATGATGATCTTTTTTTATATTTGTTATAAATAGTTGGATTAATCGTAAAATATGTTTATATAAAATGCTATAGTGGATGGGGAATATGTGGAGGAAGGATGGGTGGACAAAACATGTAAAATTTGCAAAAAGGACACGAGGGGTGAGGCAAGACAAGTGGACAAGTTAGGGAGATATGTTCATGTCTCTTGTCTTCAAAATCCCTCCAATTCTTCTGGAAATTTCTTCACCAGACTCTTCTCTAGATGATCAATTCCCCGACTCATATATATGAATGTGTGTTTTTTTATAGATAAACTATTCTTGCAGTTTTGTGTATTTTTACAGAAATCGAAATTCGTTTACATACCAAAAAAAAAACATCATGTTTAATGGGATCTTGAGAAACAAAGAGAAAGAGAACATTTTACTAACACTAGTTACGAACCGATCTTAATTTTGAAATTTTATCAACACACAACTTGTCAAAGCGCATTACTTTCATTTTACTTTTTCAAGACCTTAGAACACTGCACACTGGAAGAGAAAGCAAATATGAATTGATTAAATCATCGATCGATCACAGAAAGCATGATATAATAGTTTTTTTGAATCTTGTCTTTGTATCCATTTCTAAATTCGATTAGCCATGCATGGAAGCTGTGTATCCCGGGTCAAGGCAGCGTTTGCGTATTAATTTGCGACCGTTCAAACAGTTGAACAAACGATATTCACTTCGTTACTTTATAAGCCTCAGACTTATTATATTCACTTCAATATTCAAAAACATCATACTGAGAATACCAGAGACTTGGTAAAAACTCTGCCTTTTGAGCAAGTATAAACATATATACACCTTAAAAGCTTGTTTTATGAAGCTTTTGCTGACTTAATCCAATTATGAGGCTGTTCTTTTACAAAATATGTCTTGTGTGTGTGCTAGCTACTATTTGATTTGATGAATGTTCTCCTACTCTTTTCGGTAACCTTTCCAAATTTCACAACATATTTTGTTTTTTGAACCTGAGATTCTTAGCCGAGTCCTAACTAATCCCCTAGTGTAACTGTGTAAGTGTAGCTAGCTATTGAGTAGCCATGTAGCCGCTGATTAATTAGTGGACACACTAGATTTTCGAAAGTGCCTAAAGCGGCTATGTATTTAAAATTTCATAACTTTGTATACTGAATCGTTATCATGAAGTATAATTTGTGTCAAAATGTATGTTACATGGTGGACCACTTAACAGTTTGAAGCTAGTTGAATTACCCTCCCTCGGAAATTAGCCAGTCAATAACAAGAGAAGTGTATTCTGGAACTAGCAAGCTACTGAGAGATAGAGCCGATGTCATCAAAAGTTGATATAAATGGTATCAAAAGTTGATATAAATGGTTAAGATGTTTACTGTTCTAAGAATTAACACACAAAAACCCTAGCAGTTATAATTAGAGTCATTTTTTTGGTTTTATGATTTCATATCTTCTTAAACTTCATTTATTTATTATGTTCAAACATTTTTAATATTCTTTATCAGAAAAATAATATGAAGATTTTTAAAGTGAGAAAGAAATATTAATAATCCTCTGTTTAGGTAACAAATTAAATTTCATATGATATTATGATTGAGGTCAACATATTTTATTACTTGGTCAATTTGAATTTTTGGAGCGTCGTTGATTTATGTTATTTAGTCAACTTAACTTTTAGAGTTTCATTTATTTTTGTTAATTAGTCAAATTTAAATTTTGGTGTGCTATTTATGTTCAAAACCAAAATATTTTGTTAGTTAGTCAATTTCAAATTTTGGATATGTTTTAGAACCATTACATTTTGTTAGATAGTCAGATTCAGATTTTGGCGTGTTATTTATTTTTCCTGATACTATATTTTGAATATTATTTAATTTCTACAGATGAGGTTATTTTGGTGGCTTATTCGTTTTTGGTAAGGACTTATTATTTTTGATATCAAAATCTAAGAAACAAGTATACTACACATTCTTTTCCAAAAACCTATAGAATGAATTACTAATGCTAACTTTTATCACACGTATCACAATGTTAGATTTTGAATACACACTTTTTTATTTATATTTTTGATGAAAATTTTTGAATGTTTTATAAAAATTAGTGAGTTATCTGTACGGGGACATAATATTCTTTTTTTAAAATGATCCACATCTAAATTTATTAAGTAGTATGAGTATGATTTTGCATAGCAAGTGTAGGTCTGGTTTAGATCACGGCGAATTGTGCAGAAATGAAAGCACAACCATGGTCAACGAAAAACATAGCAAGAGTAACGGTATCCAACAGAAGAAGATTCAAAGTGTACAACAGAAAAGAGAAAACACAAGCGCTTCCTCCGACATTAACACCAAAGGCGCATCAGCACTGAAGAAAAATATGACTTTTAGAGAGAAGGGTGAGAAACGAAGAGAGAGAGAACAACCTTTTCCGAGCAATAGATATCTAAATGTGACTCTTTTGAATAAAGTGCGTTTATAAGCCATCTTTATTGTCCATCTTTAATCTTTGTTTAATCTTTTCTCAGCAAAGCTCTTATGAGCTTCAGTAAAGCTCTTATGAGCCATCTTATTATCCAACATTACAAGAAATTGTATAATTGCATATTTGTTTAGATAACAAATAAAGGATTTGTGAGTCCATCATGCATAGTTTCTTCGGATTCATATTACAGCAGATCTTACTTGTAAAAAAAAAAGAATAAACAGGCATAATTAAAAAGACAATTTATTCATGGATTAAAATAATACATTACATGTATTATCAGACCAATTATTAAAGAAAACAAAGGTACTTAAACAGGCAAATTAAACGATAATAATGTTGACACCAACGAAAATTAAAATTATTCAATCTCCGGCTCATCTCCACCGTCAATCTCACGACTCTTTCCATCACATTCCCGCATATTTCTTCTAAAAAAACCTTCCTTCAACCACCCCATTACGTAAGCAAGAAGGCACCGGAAGCAGTTCAAGCGGTGGAACCTCAAGACTTTGTGTAAGAAAAGGGTGGCCCATTAGCTCCTCCGCGGTGGCTCTAGCCGTCGGAGTCCTCACTCTGCATCTCCTCACAAAGTCACGAGCCATCGGCGATAGTGTCTCCGGCAAGCAATCACATACTTCCCCTACAATAGTAAACCCCAACATGTCAAGCACCATAACACCTAAGGACCAAATATCAATGGCCGACGAGATCCTTCCACGTGGCCCGACTGCCTCAGGAGCCAAATACTCCGGAGTTCCCTCGAACAAAGATCCAGGCGCTGGATCAGGTCCGTTAGGCTCCTTAGCTAAACCGAAATCTGCAAGTTTCAGATCACAAAGCTCTCCTTGAGCATAGCTCGGGAAGATAAGGACATTCTCGGGCCTGAGATCACAGTGCACGTAACCATGTTGGTGAAGATCTTTGAGCCCTTCAAGAACCGGGAGCGTGCAATAACCGACCACGTTTTCCGGCAATCTCCCACCGGCTTTGGTAATCATGTCTTTGAGTGAGCCATGTGGTGCGACTTCCATGTAGATGGAAGTCACCTTGACATTGACTGGCATTGTTTCGTTGAAGATAATAGGGCTTGTGGGTCTTACGGTGTTGAATTTGGTTGCGTAGAAGTGATGCAATATCCTCAACTCTTTCTCGAGATCCTCCGAGTATTTGCGGAGAGATGTTTTCTTAGCCATGAGGAGTCCATCGGGGGTTCGAACCAGGGAGACGTAGCCATGGGTGCCTTGGCCGAGAAAGCCGAGTCTTGGTAATGGAGTCTCGTCAAAAACCCATGAATTAGGAGACATGTCGAAGTTTAAGAATTAGGGCTTTCTTTTAGGTTGAGAGATAGAGAGATTGTGAAGATTGCTTTTTTTTTTTTTTTTTCTTTTTTGTTGGGTCAAAAGGAATTGTGAAGATTTCTTCTTAAAGCATCACCTATATATATTGTAAATTGACAATTTGATTGGTAGGTAATTAAGTTGAGTTTGACTTTGTTTGGGGGTAAGAACTTATCTACATGTATGAAAATATACAATTTATTAATTTGTTGAACCTAAATAGGATAAGTATGAAAAAGAAAACTCATATGGTATGGATATATTTGTTTTATAGAAAAAAATTATTCATACTTTTTTTTAGAAATCCCATAACGTATTAAGCAAATTTCCTTAATTGATGTAATGTATGTACATATTGTGGGAAATTACATTCATAATAAACAAAAAGAATATTGTATAATTATTTTAATTTTGAAAAGTTGATGCATTATATTTAAAAAGAGTTTACACATAGAGTACATGTTATGTTACTCTCTGAAAATAGTCTACTAGCTAAAGATAAGAAACTAACTGAACAAAGTTAGTAATGGTCCATGGTCGGAGCTCTGTCGAAGCAGATGTGTATCTGATTGAAGAGTCTCAATCCGGAGCCAAGTACACTAGAAGTCTGAAGAAGCTAGAAGAACAACTTTCTATAGATCAGTTAATGAGAGAACCATAGTTTGCAACTGTAAGCAGATGCTAGAGCCATCGTCGGGTTCTGCTGTCTGTAAAGAGATGAACAAAAGTTTGAAGGAGAAGAGTGTAAAACAGAGATTTTCTCTTAACTTCAACTCAAGTGTTACAAGTTGCATTACATCTTCTTTTTATACTAGAATAAGAAAACCCTAAAGTAACAATGATCCTTAACAGCTGTCTTCCTTCTCGACAAGAGACTACAAAGCATTAAACCTATTGTAGGTACAAATCGACGGTTTTGGACAGTAGGTCGTACTCTGTTCTTCAAGAGAAACAGAGGCTGTTTTAGAAATGCCCTCGTCGTTTTGTCCACGTGTATATGACCGTTGTTGCAGAGAGCTTATCTTGGGCCTTGATTCTTCGCTGATGGGCTTTAATGTGAGCCCTTTGTCTTGGCCTTGCTCAATGTTCAATTCAACAGGAGTCTTCTCCTTAATAGCCCCCCTCAAACTTGTTGTGGTTGTGAACGAAGGAACATCCACACCAAGTTTGTACCTCAGAGTGCTGAATGATGCAAACGGAAGGGACTTAGTAAAAATATCCGCCAACTGGTGTTCAGCCAAAATGTGATTGACCACAAGAGATTTCATTGCAACTTGTTCACGGACATAGTGATGATCCAGCTCAAAATGTTTGGTTCGAGCATGAAACGTGGGATTGGCCGTAAGCATTACTGCAGAGAGATTATCACAATAGAGTTCAGGTGTTGATTCAACAGGGACACCAAGTTCACGTAAGACAGCGTTAATCCAAGTGATTTCAGAAGCAGCTTCAGACATGGTTCTATTTTCCGCCTCAGTGGAACTTTTAGAGACGGTAGGATGCTTCTTTGACGACCAAGAAATAAGATTGGAACCCAAAAATATGCAGAAGCCACCGGTGGAACGCCTAGTGATCTTACAACCGGCCCAGTCACTGTCACTGTAAGCCCTTAATGAAAAATCAGTATCTCTCAAGAAGTTGATTCCCATCGTTATGGTTCCTTTAACATATCTCAGTATCCTCTTTAGATGCTTGAAGTCTGAGACTGATGGAGCATGCATCTTTTGGCAGACAAAATTTACTGCGAACTGTATATCTGGCCGAGTAAGGGTTAAGTATTGCAGCTTACCAGCTAGACTGTTAGAGAATGGTTCTTGGTTCTCCAGGTTGTCATCCAGTCGAAGAGGAAGAGGTGTTGGCATTGCAGAGCAGTCGTTCATTGCTGCAACCTTTAATAAGTCCTCCGCGTATTTGTGCTAAGATAAGAATAGACCCTCACTATGATGATGAGCCTGAATACCAAGGAAGTAGCTCATTTTACCCATGTCTTTCATTCGAAATTGGAGACTGAGTTGAGCTAGTAATCTCTCTAGTGTTGCAGAGTTGTTGCCCGTTAACAACATATCGTCTACATATAGAAGGAGCATGATCAGGTCATTGTCCTTGATGTAGATGAACAGAGAGGGATCTTTAATACTGCAGGTAAACCCAAAGTCCAACAGAAAGCTGCTAAACTTGTCAAACCAGGCCCGAGGAGACTGTTTTAAACCATAAAGGGACTTGTGTAGAAGACAGACATGATCTGGTTTGCTTTTGTCAATGAAACCTGTAGGCTGCTTCATATACACCGTTTCAGTAAGATCCCCATGTAAGAAGGCGTTCTTAATGTCCATTTGTTTTATTTCCCAAGTCATTACAGTAGCTATATCCAGAACTAAGCGAACCGTGGCTGACCGAACAACTGGACTATATGTCTCCAAATAATCTATTCCTTCTTCTTGAGCGTACCCTTGAGCCACAAGACGTGCTTTTAGCTTATCCAGAGAACCATCTGCGTGTAGTTTTGTCCGGAAAACCCACTTGCTTCCCAGTACATTCATTTCAGGAGAGAATGGAACCAGAGACCAAGTTTGTGTTTCAGTGCAGTTGTCATACTCCTCATTCATTGCAGCATTCCATCCAGGATGTTTCAAAGCCTCTGTAACTGTTCTCGGTTCTGGAAATGTTACCTTTTGAGTGAGTAACACATATCTTTGGTTTGGCTTAAAAATGCCTGACTTAGATCGAGTGACCATTCTGTGAGTTTGTTGCTCTTCAGGATTAGAGACGGGTATGGAAACCGGTGCAGAAGAGTGTGAGTTTTGTGGCGCAGGACTCGTTGATCGAGAGTAAGTTTCAAGAGAGCTTGGTGAACTCGGAGAGCCTGTCCCATCCACAGAAGCATGAGCACTGTTGCCTATAGGATCAGAGTCAAAGTCTGCCGTACACCCAGAATACTCAGCTTTTCTGCAGTGGTAAGCTCACCTGCAGTTTCTGTAGGAAGAGTAACGTTTTGATCAAGAGACTGAGACCGAGCACCTGAATCCATTGAAGAAGAGATTTGTTGTGAATCAACTAACGAGGATATGATTGGTGTTGGTTCCTCACTAGTGGAAACTGGTAATGGAACAGCTTCATTGGCTGGAGATTGAGTTGCTTGAGCAATGCTGCTTTGCCAAGCTGAGAGCAGAGGAGTGTATCCTTTGTCCTGTAAGTGAGCATAAGTAGAAGAAAATGGGAACTTGGTTTCATCAAAGATGACATGGCGGCTGATATAGACTCTACCAGTTGTAGGAAGGAGACACCTATAGCCTTTGTATTTCTCATTGTATCCGAGAAATACACACTGCAGTGATCTAGGATCAAGTTTATTTTGAGCATAGTCACGCAATGTGGGATAACAAGCACTGCCAAATACCCGAAGGAAAGAATAGACAGGTGGTTTTCCATAAAGTATCTCGTGTGGGCTTTTATTATTTGCCAAGGAAGAATGTGGTAGAAGATTGCTCAAGTAGTTTGCAGTAAAGAAGGCTTCAACCCAATACCGTTGTGGTAAACAACCCTGAAACAACATTGATAGTCCCAATTCTGTGATGTGGCGGTGTTTCCTCTCAGCTAACCCATTTTGTTGGGGTGTGTGAGGACAGGAAATGATCTGTTTTATGCCATATGATTGGAGATGATTGACAAACTTGTTGCTTACAAACTCCCCACCACCGTCACATTGAAAGACCCCAATTTTCTGTTGGAGCTGATTCTCAACCATTTTTTGAAAGTGGATAAAGATGGAGAAAAAATCAGATTTCATTTTCAGAGGATAGAACCAACAGTATCTTGAGAAATTATCAATAAACACCACATAGTATTTAAACCCTTGAACAGAAAGAGTAGGAGAAGGGCCCCAAAGGTCACAATGTATCCTTTCTAATGGCCTAGAAGCAATAAAACTAGAAGCAGAAAATGACAGACGTGAACTCTTGCCAAGATGACACGCCTCACAGATGGCATCAACCGCCTTATTGATGAAGATAGATTTGTTGGCTGCTAAGAGCTGGAGGACGTGTGGATTTGGATGCCCCAAGCGTCTATGCCACACCTCATCGCTTGCAGACTGTTGCCTTGATGAGTAGAACACTTGAAATGTCGAACCCTCCAGCAAATACAGACCATCAGTGTTGTTTCCCTTTACCAGCAACTTACGTGTTTCCTTATCAGTAATACGCACAGCATCACAGTCAAACTCAAATTTGCAGGGATAGTCTCTAGTTAGCTTAGAAACGGATAACAGCGATTTAGCGATATCAGGACATACGAGGACTTCTTTAAGAGGGAGGTTACCTGAAGTTGAAGGTAAGGAAGAGGATCCAGTGTGAGTAATAGGAAGGAATTGACCATTACCAACCATGACTGTTTCTGTTCCATGATAAGGATGAACGTGTTGAAGGTGTTGAGAGGAGTTGGTGATGTGGGCGGATGCTCCTGTGTCAGGTATCCATTCCTGATGAGCTTGATCGGTGACGTCAGTGATTTTCAGGGCAGCCATAGCTTGAGCGGGTTCATCATAGCGATGCCAACAGTCTTTTGCCAAATGACCCACTTTTTCACAGATTTGACATTGTGGTTGTTGATTTTGACAACTAGTGGGCATTGAGGAGCTCCTTGGATTTGCACCACTGACTCCCTGGCCGAACTGTTGTGGGAAACCTCTCCCCTGAGTGGAGTACGATCCTCTTCCGCGGTTGCCTTGGGAGCCTCCTCGGCCTTGTCCTCTGCCCCTGCCTGTGTAGCCTACCCTGTCCGTATAGAAAGCTTGATGTGGTGTTGCAGAGAGCGTAGCCTCGTAAGACTGGAGTTTGTCATCAAAGCCCTTGAGCTTGTACAGAACATCATCAAAGCGAGGCCCTGGATATGTGTCCATAGCATCTTCTATCACAGTGACTATAGACTCATATTCACGACCTAGCCCGTTTAGAATACCATATATCTTTTCATGTTCAGATATTGGTGACCCTATAGAGTCCAGCTGATCACACAGAGACTGTATTTCCGACAGATATTGAGTCAAAGGTTTACTCCCTTTAATGGTGGTTTGAATGCGCCGTTGAATATCTAGCTTCCGAGTTGCAGAGACTCTATTGTATTTCTTGGCAAGAGAGAACCATACCTCTTGAGAGGATTTGAGTCCATAAATGCTTTTCAGCGCATCCTCAGAAAGTGAACCATAAAGCCACGCCATTATGAGCTGATCAGTTTGAACCCATTGAAGAAACTCTGGATCGTGTGTCTCTACTACTTGGTCTCCATTACGAGCTAGAACCGTTGGAGAAGGACGAGCGATAGCTCCAGTGACATAACCAAGAAGCATCTGACTTTGAAGGAACTGTTCAAACTAAAGCTTCCAAGACAGGTAGTTGGATTCATTTAGCTTTAAGGTCACCACCTGAGTGATAGAAAGCGTTGCCGGAGTATAAGCCGGAGCGACAAGCATCGATGGCGGTGCTTGAAGAATAGTCGGATGAGACGGTGGTACACCCAGATCTGAACGTTGTAATGGGACATGTGTTGTTAAAGGTGGCGGTACAGAAAACGGAGGGATCTGTGACACCGGGAAATAGAGCGGTGGAGGGCGTTGAGGTGCTGTAGCTGGTGTAGTCGCCTGAGCTGGAACTCCAGTTGTCGGCGTCGTAGATCCGTTCGAAGTAAGTGGATTTCCAACAGAAGTTGTCGGAGGCGGAGCTGATGCTGAGTGCGAAGACTGAGCAGGGTCTGGTTGCGACGAGGGTTCATCTGCCATAGTGGTCGTCTACAACCTGGCTCTGATACCATAAAGAGATGAACAAAAGTTTGAAGGAGAAGAGTGTAAAACAGAGATTTTCTCTTAACTTCAACTCAAGTGTTACAAGTTGCATTACATCTTCTTTTTATACTAGAATAAGAAAACCCTAAAGCAACAATGATCCTTAACAGCTGTCTTCCTTCTCGACAAGAGACTGCAAAGCATTAAACCTACTGTAGGTACAAATCGACGGTTTTGGACAGTAGGTCGTACTCTGTTCTTCAAGAGAAACAGAGGCTGTTTTAGAAATGCCCTCGTCATTTTGTCCACGTGTATATGACCATTGTTGCAGAGAGCTTATCTTGGGCCTTGATTCTTCGCTGATGGGCTTTAATGTGAGCCCTTTGTCTTGGCCTTGCTCGATGTTCAAACCTTTGGATTCAACAGGAGTCTTCTCCTTAATAGTCTGGAGGTGGAGATTCGATTGCGGATGGGTGTATCAATCACGTAGAAGACTAAATCGATGGTTCAGTTGTGTGTATGTTGATGCAAGCGGTTTCGTAGATCACAGCTTGCCAAGCCAATAATAGGGTTAGGTAACATAGATTTCTTAGAACCCAAGAATCCGATCAGGAACTAAAAGTATGTTGTTCAGACAAATGAACATATTACATGTGTTAAATCGTTATGTGGCCTTAGCAAAAAAATCGTTATGTGCCCTAATCCTTATTAAAATGTGGTTAACTGGAAAAAAAACAACATGCACAATAAGCCATGATATTTTAAGATATTTGTTAATAATGCCGGTGATTTTTTTTCGACATCATGCAGGTGATTTTTTTTAATAGGATTTTATGTTGGAATGTGGTGAACTGATCCTACTTGTGTTCTATGTCAACATCATCCCCTAGAGACAAAGCAGCACTTGTTTTTTAGTGTGCTTATTCAGCACAGATATGGGAAGCTCTTGTAAGGGGAATCTAAAGGAGATATATACTACTAACTGGGATCAAGTGCGCTGTGCAAAATTGCCTTGTTGTTCACATATATACATTTCATGCAACTATCTACGGCTTGTGGAGAGAGAGAAACGCTCGTAAACATAGGAAGAGTCTTTTCTACCGTTGAGGTTGATAAAGATTCTCGACAAAACAGTTCAGACCCGATTAAACACCATCTGGCTTCAAGGAAACAAGGATTATGAGAGTGGTCTCATCTTCTGGTTTGGCATTAGAAACTAATGTATATGTTTTAGATTTTACTTATTAAAAACATGAAGCATTTGATGTAAAACTGTTTTGATTGAATAAATTCTTTATTCATTATTAAAAAAAAAAATTTGTGGTGAACTAAAAACTTATAAAAATAAACAATGTGTGACTAAAAGTGTGACTAAAAGTAATTTTGTCAAACGTTTTAGAGGATATGAATATCAGTTTTTGTAAGGGTGGTTTCAAATTTTCCCACTTGGTCAACTTGTTTCAATTTCGTTTTTCTCATTGGTTGAGTATTGCCCTTATTTCTTTATCTTAAATCAATTAAAACAAAATTGCATAGATAATCATGTATTGTCTCATGTATGTCAACAGAAAACAGATGATGCAGGGACTTATGACGTGTGCATTAGCATTACTCCATGTTCGAAATATGCTAAGATCTATGAGTTTTTGTAAGGGTTAGTCAATTAGATAATCATATTATTGGTATGCTGCACACACAATAATATACTTCAAACCTTTCTCCGTTACAAACACTTAACATAAAATAGTGCATTTGATAGCCAGGAAAAAAATGACTTGCCTTTCGATCGAGACACCTTTAGAGATGTAATGTGGGATACACGAAACATAGGTGGATAATCTTCGATACTTATGCTCTATACTAAACCCTAAACATATAATTGATACAAGACTATAATGACCAGTCCCACTTAGGTGATAACAGTCCACTGATCAGAACTTAAGTCCGATCTAAGTAGATTATGATCCGAACATGAACTTAATACCGAAAATCCCACCCATGCCTAGATAATCTCGTGATCTTCACTTCTCAATATGGTTTAGCCTGAAATTAATCTGCAGTTATATATTAATTATCATTTGATCGCATTTTATGGTTTGTATATGTATATAACTTTATCAGAGAATCATATACTCCATGTCTATAAGAGATTTAAAGAATGAGATCAGAATGATTGCATAATTAAGGTACCATGGCTTAAATGAAGTCGGACTGTCAAGCCAGATGCTACTGTCCAGCCTCCATACTTGGACGACCGATCTCATTAAAGATCGATCGGCTTATTTATTGACTATTTAATAAGGAGATCTTCGTTCTTTTTTTTTCTTCAGTTTCTCATGAGCTTGATCTGCATCTCTATGGAGTATATATACATCCTTTTCTTTTTATAAGCAGAGCACAAGGTAATTATAACATTTAAAAAAAGATGATAAAGAAGCCACAATAACTAAGAGAAAGACGTTGTGTCTTTTGGATTATTGACACGAAAGGAGCAAAGCAACCTAATTTCAAAGTACGAACGTACCGTCGGATTGTTGACACGGAGAAAAGTTGGCCCACGTGTTTGGAGTTGAACGTTTTTAGCATGAGACAATGATTTTTGCTAACCCACGCCGCTCTTAAATTTCCCCCACTTTATATTGTAATTTATTTATTCAGTTTTTGGCCCTTTAGGATATCGTTTTCCGTGACTTCTCACGGCCCCACACTCTGGCCAATGTGAAGGCACCACACAATATCTATGTAGTGAATTCCAAGACACGTGGTGGCTTTTTCTTACTGGTTATGTTAAAAATGCCATATGAGCCGTGACCACGTCATCATTCTGAATCTGATACGTCAACTCCCAAACTGGTCATGAAGAGAATGATTTTTTTATTCTACTTACAGAAACATCAATTTTTTACATTGTGTTCTATAGGCTCAAGATATAAATATATAATACTAATTACTTTATCAAAATAAGATAAAGATAAGAAATCTAATCTTTTTTTTTTTTATCACGACTTCAAACTTATATACTTAAGAGATCCTGTCCAATCCGGACTTAAATGACAAAGAGCTTTAGCTAATGTATCTAGCTTACAAAAGTATATAAAAAGACAACTTAGTCGAGTTATTCATTGTGGGTCACCTAATCAACTAATTTAACCCTTTAACTACATTAATTAAAATAACCAACCGCTTACCACCTAAATCATATGAGTAATGCAATGCCCTCCACTAACTCCCATAATTAATTATGATTACAAAAAAAAAAATAACCTTTCACTTTTCATAATGTCTTTCTTTTCATCAAGTTTGAGTCAAAACGACACAATTTCACTCTAATCATTTTGGTTTGCTTATGATAGAAGCAAACAACAGCCATCAGTGATCAAACCAATTAAAACCAAGACAAAAAAAAAAAAAAAACAGGTTTTCAAAGGCCGGGTTTTTGCTTACTCTGTTCTGAAACCTTGCTGTGTATGAACCTAAACTTTCTCCTGGGAATGACCAACTGTTTATCATCGACGGCAGAAACCTGATTCCGATTAAGAACATTGCTGGTTGAAACATTACGTTTCAGCACTGGCTTAGAGAGATCAATCAGCGGCTCCTGCTGGTTCACAATATGGCTCAATAAGGAGCATCGAGGAAAGTTATCTCCTTTCATTGACCGCTTCCCTCTAATAGCTTTCTGATCTTTCCATGACTCAATGTTCCACTGTCGAAACGCGTCTTCTGCTTCAAGTTGCTTCACTCTAGCTATTTCTACCCGGTTTAACGCTGTTTCCAAGGCTTGTTTACTTTGTTTAACTTCTTCATTAGCTTCCTCCAGCTTCCTCAGGATCTCTATTCTTGAGATATCGGTGGATAAGTCTTTTTCCATCAGTGCCTGAAGTGTTGGAGGCTCCAGGGAACAGAGACCGTCTTGGTTTTCCACGCTGGATAATATGGTCATTTCAGCAATCGCAAGTGCTTCCGCTGCTCTCGCAGCTTCTTCCATTTTTCTTGCAGCAGTCAATCTTATCTCTGCGGTTTTCAGACAAGTCTTGCTCTGTCTATGGAAAGTTGTATCATTGGTTTCGGTCACCATCTTAACCTGTTCGCATTGCGGATTCAAGGTTAATTTCTCGGCACTGAATCTCTCTTCTTGATCTGGACCTGCTGGTTTTAACCTCAAACGGTTAAGCTCCTCCGCTAGAGACGCCGCTCCAAGGAAATCTTTTTGCTCCTCCGTTTTCATATTCAGAGATTCAACATGTGATTGGATCATCGCAAGATCATCCATGGTTTTACCAAGATTCATACTGGCTTGCTTCGATTCCATGAAGACCATTTCTGGAGACTTCAGGGGATTATGATGGCAGTGTTCATCGATCATCTCTTTGATGTGTGAATGAAGATGTTCAGGGGTCTCCATGCATCTCAATGCTTGTTGATGCCTCAGCCGCTTCAAGTCTTCGAAAATCCTTTTGGTTGATCCAAGAGCTTCCAGAAAATCTAAAGTTTCTAACTCTTTCATAATCAGATCCTTCTCGAGCTCTGCTGCCTGTTTTTCCATTCTCTGTATGTCAAATTCTCGCACACCGTCCTGAAAAATGACAAATCAAAATTATGTCTCACGCACACCAAAAGATAATTTTTTGTAACATTTTCTTGTCATTCTCATGCTTCAACTATAACATGATCAAACCTTCAAAATTAAAAGGCAGAGCAAAAAAGTTCAAGACGACCTTAAAACTATCAAAAGATGTCTACATTATGATAGATCACTACACAAAGTTTTGAAATTTCTACTTAGTTCAACTATCAACCACCTAGAATATGGAAAGGTTTTTTTTTTTTTTTTTTTTGGTAAAATGTTAAGATAATATGGAAAGGTTTCCATAAAGAATTCGATAATCGTCACCAAATCGAATTTAGCTATCAATTATTAGCTCTGCCTCTGACCCAAACAAGACATACAGTGAACAAGGCAGCATTTCAAAAGTATACTACTTACAGATGCATTACTCAACGAGGAATAAATCGACATTGCAAATCAGAGATTAGTTACAGAACTCACGTTATTGTCTCCGAGTTTGAAGGGAACGCAATACCCACGACCACCAAATCCGGTTACCGCCTTCTGATCCCACTCCAACGGTGGAGAAATGTCGATTTCAGCTCCTCTCTTTGATTTCGCCGGGTTAAGATTCTCGGACCCGGGTTCGATTCTCACCTCCCGGATTCTGGGTGTACCCGGATTCGCCTCCGCCGCAGGGATCTGAAACCTCTCCGCCATTTTCCGCCTCGAGAAACAATTGGTTTGTCCAATTCAAATGGGAAACAGAAAGAAATAAAGAGACCCATCACAGTAATCATAGTTGCTGCCCAGAAGCAAACAATAAAGAAAAGAGCTCTTGAATCTGAACAAGTAAAATTCCCCATGATTGTGTTTTCTCGTTAATCGAGTCTTTCGGAGGGTTTAAGAAATGTAATGAGGATTATCATGTGTGACTTACGTACGTGGCTTGTATTGATTGGTTATTGTTTTTCTCTAATAGGATTGTGTAATAAAAATGCCAATTTGGGGCCGTTAATTGAGGAAGTGGACTTGGGCCGTTAATTGAGGAAGTAGACTTGGGCCGTTAATTACGGAGCTGCCTAAAAGGTGTCGTGAATCAAATCTTCCGCATTTAATTTTTTTTTTTTTTTGGGGTCAACTCAAAATCACTAATTGGGACTTTCTGACTCGGAAGCATAAACCAAACCCATGGAAACACGAATTTAGGTCGTCATTTATATACGTAGATAAGAATAAACTATATACAAGTTATGAACTTTACATACATGTCATAGCAAAAAGAAAAAGAAAAAACTTTACATACATGCATGATGCATGTGACATGTCATAGCAAAAAATACGTACGTTTAAGTGTATTCGGTACTCATTTTTACATGGACATATTGTTTCTACAAAGTGTCCACGATATTATAGGCTTATTTTTCTATTACAAAAAAAAAAATTGTGTTGTTTGTGTATTCAGATACAATTTCACATCCGGAAATTTACATAATACCCACCGTCCCCGTGCGATATAATGTATAATAATGTATATATAGTTATGTATGCGTCAAATAAATAGGTTGAGGCGTTGAGCATTCTCATATAGTTTTCGAACTAAATTTGTGGCTATTTCATTAACCAACAAAGACAAAACGGAAAAAAAGAAAAAAATCGAATTAAAGCAACATCTGAGTATGACTGTAGGAGAGAACGGGACCTTCATTAATTAATTATACGGTCTCAACTGTATTCCTCTCCTTTCATCCAACGGCCCAAAATCATTAACACTTGATCATCCTCCTCTTTATATCCGTCACGTTTCTATTTCTTTTTCCGCTGACGTAATATTCCAACAATTAGAACCGACAAAAGCTGATTTTTCTATTAACTGATGTCCAGATTGGTTATATTATCATCAATTTAATATCATCATCAGATTCAGATCAGATGTATGTACTCATGTCTTTTTGGATGTAAAACATACACAAACTTTTGGTCTTGTGTAGTTCCTTATTACGACCAATAAGATAAGAGCTTTCAAATTTTTGGTAGGACTTAAGAGGACTAGTAGGTGTGACTGTGTGAAGTCTTCATCTTCTGAAGCTTAAACGTGTGTTGATTGGATTAGCTAGTCACATAAACAATTCCTTAATAATAAGAACACAAAAATAACGTTAACAGAAGGAAATTCTATATTAGGTAACATATTTAATTTAAGTATTAAAAACACTAAGCAATGCATATACAGGTTTGAAACTTAATTAACTATTACCAATAAAGTGATCCCCACGACTCTCTCATAATTAATGAAAAGCATTAAGTAATGCATACACATCCAACAGTAAGATAGCCACCTTTCATTTATTATTCTAACCATTTCTTGGCCTATGCATTATTTCGAGATATCTTTCGATTACATGTAATATGCCCATCCATATTTGATTATTTCTTATAGAGAAATCAAAAATCATTTACTAGAAAAAAAGAACAGGATAAATATCCACACTTGCAACCATGCAAAGAAGACTCTTCTCAAAAGTAGATCCCCCTTTTGTCTCTCTTTAAGTTTGTGTTCGTGTAAGATCTAACCACCTCTCAAACCTTCGAATCTGTCGCTTCTTGTTTCCATCAACGCGCTTATACAAGAGACTACAGCACAGATAGAGAGAGTTTGTATAAAAATGCCATTAAGAGATGAGGTGGAGTACTCTGCAATAGATGAGGATCAAGAAGAGAGATCATCCTACTATGGTGGAGCCTCCATACCATTTGTATGGGAGTCAAGGCCAGGCACACCCAAACACAACCACTTTTCAAATCGCTCTTTTCTTCCGCCGCTCACGCCGCCTCCGTCGTATTACTCCTCTTCCGGGATTTTGTCAACGCCAAAGAGACAGAACAAGGTGAGAACAAAACTAAGTAGAATCCTGTCTATGTCTCTGTTCCATGATCTCAGGAAGAGCAGTAACAGTAGCAAGAAGACGACCAACTGTGTCTCTGGGTCATCGTTTTCTTGGTCGTCTACGTCTTCTTCATCTTCCTTGTCCTCCTCGCCGCCACATTCTTTGAGAAAACCAGTGAGTCTTAGTAAAAAATCAACGGTTCTGTATGCTAGTTACAAAGAGCATGAGCTTAGGTCGTCGCCGACCTCGACTCTGTGTTACTCCAATGGTGGAATAAAAGGGTTTAGTTCTTCCATGGGGAGTATGAAGAGAGCTCTGTTCTCTGTTCCTAGACAAGGATCCACTGGCAAAGCTCTCATCATCGGAGACATGAACAAAGCTTGACTATGTGAATCTATTGTGTTCTTGATTCGTTCTATGAGCTGATTTTGCCTCAATGAACCAGAACGAGTACTACAATGCTTGATGTGTGAATGTAATTGTATGATGTATGTATATTTATATATATATATATATATATAGCTTGTCTCTCTCGGTCGTGGTATAAAGCTTGTGTTGTAAACTGACTTTTTTCATTTCATATCTATCTAAGAACCACGAAAGTTCTCCCAGTAAAACGAAGTCAAATATTATAAACTGATATCCTTTTTTATACATAAAGGTTGGCATGTCATGTGTATAAAGGGATCAGTGAAATATTCCCAGTGAGAAGAAACCTTAGCTATACAGTGATACGAACGGGTTATGGTGTGTCATTGATATCCTTAAGATAGTTATCACTTCTTACTTAGTCTAAGTCGCTACTAGATACCTCTTCTTCTGGCAGCTCAAATGCATCGACCTCTGCAAAATACGCTCTCTGCTGCTCGATATAATCCTGAGAAACTCCATGAGCCAAATTATCTTTCTCATCCTTTACCGTTCGCTGCCTCTGTAATGTAACACCATAGATAAAGAATTAAATTTGGAGCAAACTTATATGGTATCAATAGGTCGAAGGCTCTACAAATGAATAATGAGTGATACAGGTTGCGTATCTCATTAAACAGCTATAACAGAGTATCTCACGACAATATTCTGAATCCACCTTTTGAAAAGAGAAGAATATACATGAAATTGAAAGACAAGACACCCCTCTTCGACCTATGCGTAGCACTGGTTTTCATATATAATGGCAGAAGACGTTTTGACCGATCAAACATACGATGCACTGATATACAATTTGCTAGAGCCGGAAAAAAACCGATAGATCAAAATAAATGACTACTTTTTACAGAAAGATGAGAGCAACACAGAACTATTACAATTCTGATGAGTATATATAGCTAGAGCTTTCCTGAACTCACCTTTCTGGGAGCCGCTTTCGAGGGCTTCGGTTTGTTTTCATTGGCTTGATGTGTTTTCTTCCTGTGATACAAATTTCAAAAAGACTTACTAAAACAAAGACATGCTTGAATTTTACACAGGCCACAAAATGCTAAACAAATTTGATGGGCATGATAGGTTCAACACTAATACCAGTCATATCATCTTAATTCCTTACTGATAAGATTCTTAACAGAACAAGCCACAATACAGCATCGACAAACTATGTAGCATGTACTATGTTCTATCCTGATTCCACATATCCATAGCTACCATTAGTCATTACCAGATCTTATTTTCCCAATACTAAACAACTTTTATAACATTGAATGAGTTTTCATACCCAGAGCTTGATATCAAGTCAAGGCGAAGGCGAGTCACTGCACCAGAGGAGGATGCGTCTATATTCCTTTTTCTCCCAGAAGCCTTCCTTCTTACCGTGTAAACCGAGTACGGCTCAGCAACCTCCTTGTCACTACCGCCTAAGCATAAGAAAGTTCTTAACCATCAGCCAAAGATAGACACAACCAATTAAGCAAAATTTTCAGTTGAATTGGAAACAGCATGATATTAGTTTCCAATCCACTGAATATTGGTGCCATTTTGAAAATTTAAGGAGCATGATGA